GAACCAACCTGGACACAGCATTTTATTTGAGAACACAAAAATGCTGGACCACTCTCACAACCACCATATCAGACTACACAGAGAAGCCATTGAAATCCACAAACATGTGGACAATTTCAACAGAAAGGAAGAAACCATGAAAATGAACAAAATCTGGCTACCAGTATTAAAAAATTCTAAAATTGCAACAGCAAAAACAGCAGAGAGAAAAACAGGCAGGGACATCTATTCACCTTTCAAGAAGAGTTTGCTCCAGGCACAGTCAGCCCATTGTATGCTAATCAAGGTGGTCAGTTGAAAGATTCACACCTAGCCCAACTTACAAAAGCCCTTTGTCTCACCCTGGTCATTCCACAGATATATAAACCCCTTTTTTCCTTCCAGCAGACCTCACCTCTGAGGATGCTTGCCATAGATGCAGGCGAAACGTCAGGAGAAATGCCTCTAGAACATGGCCATATAGCCCGAAAAAAACCCACAAGAACTGATAGCAGGATTTAAATTGAATAATAAGAAAACAGTCATCCTAACAAAAAAAAATCACAAAAAAAAAAAAAAAAACAAGAGGAAATACAAGGAAGGACAGGATTTCAAATTAAGACCAAAATAAAATACCTGGGAATATGGGTCACTGCTAGAAATGCCCAATTGCTTCAAAACAACTATATGGAAAAATGGAAAGAGATCAAAAAAGACCTAATTAATTGGAGAAATTTAAACCTCTCACTATTAGGGAGAATAGCAATAATAAAAATGGACATACTCCCTAAAATGCTATACCTCTTTCAAAATCTCCCTACCATTCGTAACATGAAAATATTCAGAATATGGGACAAAGGCCTATCAAAATTTATCTGGAATGGGAAAAAACCCCAGAATAAAACACAGAATATTAAGAGACATAAAGAACAGAGGAGGTTTTGGACACCCCGACTTAAACATTTATTATGAGGCCTCTGCCCTAACTTGGGGAAAGGAGTGGATTGGACTGAAAAAAGAAAGAATACTAACACTAGACGGGTTCGACCTCAGGGCGGGATGGCACGCATACATCTGGTATGGTAAAACAAAAATTGAAAAAAATTCGGTAACCATTTTATTCGGTCTTCCCTGACAAAAATTTGGAATAAGTACAAACAATATTTCCATACCAAAACTCCGATGTGGCTATCACCCCCTAGAAGCAAAACAACAAAGGCTATTAGGATGGACAATCTGGCCAACTTATAAAGAAATCTTTTAAAAAAATGTAAGGATACATTTGAGCCGAAAAAACAAGAAGAACTGACCAAGAAATTCAGCCACTTAATATGGTTCCAGTATGCACAGATAAAAGAAGCTTTTAATCAGGACAAAAAACCAGGTTTTAATGACAAAAAAGATTTTTGGGACAATTTTTAAAAAACGGAAAAGAAAAATATATCAAAAATCTATAATAAACTTCTAGAATGGGCCACAGAGACAGAGGGAGTAAAAAACTGCATGACAAACTGGGCAAAAAACATAGGAAGACAAATTAAGATGGACGAACGGGAGCAATTATGGAAAAAGAAATCAAGATACACGTACTCATCTGATCTCAAGGAAAACTAGCTCAAAACAGATGGTCCATGACTCCTCAAAAATTAGGACTAATGTACAAAAATTTACTATCAAACTGTTGGAAATGTCAATCACATGAGGGAAGCTACTTCCACATGTGGTGGACCTGCAAAGAAACAAACAACTACTGGAAGATTATACATGAAGGAATACAGGAGATTTAAAAAAAAGAAATACCCAATGAAACCGGAATACCTCTTACTAGGAATTACAGATAATGAACTAAAGCTAGATCAAAATGAGGATATTTTGTTTGTTTATCTTATAACAGCAGCACGAATGGTTTTTGCAAAACAATGGAAAAGTGAGAAAATACCATCAAAAGAACAATGGCTCAGGAAAGTAGTCAAGATTAAAGACATGGACAAACTAACTTTCTTATTGAAGAAAAGTACAGGAAGGTGTATAAAGCAAACAGAATGGAAACCTTTTGAAGAATACCTCAAAGAAGAACTGGAAAAAAATGAGAAAGAACTTATAATCAAGGGACAGAAATAGAGAAAGACATTACTCTTTAGGAAAAGAGTACACACATATAAAAAATTACATAAAGATGAATTTTTGGATGTACAAAACAGATGAACTGCCACAAACAAGAATGGAAGTCAAACCTCCCCCCCTTTTTTTTCTTTTTTTTTTCTTTTTCTTCCTCTTCCCCCTTTCCCCCCACTCGCCCCTTCTCATTTCCTACTATCCTTTTTATTCCTTGCTAACCCACTTTTTAATGTAAAATCAAATGCACAATAAAATTATTTTTAAAAAATATTCTGGAAAAGATTGTTAAGGAAGTGGTCTACAAACACTTAGAAACAAATGTGTCATTACTAATAGTCAACATGGATTTATCAAAAACAAGTCATGCCAGACTAATCTGATCTCTTTTTTCGATAGAGTTACAAGCTGGATAGATGCGGGGAATGCCATGTATGTAGCGTACCTGGATTTCAGTAAGGCCTTCAACAAGGTCCCCCATGACCTTATGGCAAACAAACTAGTCCAATGTGGGTAGGCAAAAATACAGTGAGGTGGATCTGTCATTGTCATTAAATGGACAAACCCAGAGGGTGCTCACCAATGCTTCCTCTTCATCCTGGAAAGAAGTGACAAGTGGAGTCCACAGGGTTCTGTCCTGGGCCCGGTCCTGTTCAACACCTTTATTAATGACTTAGATGAAGGCTTAGAAGGCATGACCATCAAGTTTGCAGATGACACCAAATTGGGAGGGATAGCCAATACTCCAGAGGACAGGAGCAGGATTCAAAAGGACCTTGACAGATTAGAGAGCTGGGCCAAAACTAACAAAATGAAGTTCAACAGTGACAAATCCAAGATACTCCACTTTGGCAGGAAAAACAAAATGTGAAGATACAGAATGGGGGGCAATGCGGTACATGTGAAAAAGATCTTGGAGGCACGGCAGTGTTGGTGGCCGATGTAGCGTACCTGGATTTCAGTAAGACCTTCGACAAGGTCCCCCATGACCTTCTGGCAAGGAAACTAGTCCAATGTGGGCTAGGCAAAACTACGGTGAGGTGGATCTGTAATTGGTTAAGTGGACGAACACAGAGAGTGCTCGCTAATGCTTCCTCCTCATCTTGGAAAGAAGTGACAAGTGGAGTGCCGCAGGGTTCCGTCCTGGGCCCGGTCCTGTTCAACATCTTTATTAATGACTTAGATGAAGGGCTAGAAGGCATGATCATCAAGTTTGCAGACGACACCAAATTGGGAGGGATAGCCAATACTCCAGAGGACAGGAGCAGGATTCAAAACGATCTTGACAGATTAGAGAGATGGGCCAAAATTAACAAAATGAAGTTCAACAGTGACAAATGCAAGATACTCCACTTTGGCAGGAAAAACGAAATGCAAAGATACAGAATGGGGAGATGCCTGGCTCGAGAGCAGTACGTGTGAAAAAGATCTTGGAGTCCTCGTGGACAACAAGTTAACCATGAGCCAACAATGTGATGTGGCGGCAAAAAAAGCCAATGGGATTTTGGCCTGCATCAATAGGAGCATAGTGTCTAGATCTAGGGAAGTAATGCTACCCCTCTATTCTGCCTTGGTTAGACCACCTGGAATATTGTGTCCAATTCTGGGCACCACAATTGAAGAGAGATATTGACAAGCTGGAATGTGTCCAGAGGAGGGCGACTAAAATGATCAAGGGTCTGGAGAACAAGCCCTATGAGGAGCGGCTTAAAGAGCTGGGCATGTTTAGCCTAAAGAAGAGAAGATATATATATATATATTAGGGCTGGGCAACCACGGAAAAATTTGTTTCTAAACTCGATTCGTTTTTAGGGGGTGTTTTGCGTTTCTTTTTTAAAAGAATTCCGAAATTTTTCTTTAAAAAAGTTCGATATTTATGAAATTTCAGAAATTACGAAACAATTTCGAAACAATTACGAATCAATTTGTTCATGGCGGACGCGACTGCGCAATACGCTAAAAAACCCTCCAAATGGGACGGGGAACTTCTGAAGCTTCCCTCTCCCTCTGTTGTTGACTGTTGGTGTGATATTATATTTTTTTCACTGATTAAACAAACAACAACTATAAAACTTGCCCCAGACATGCGGAAATAATAACGAAACGATTTCAAAACGATAACGAAACGAATACAAAACGAATCTGAAGCAATTACGAAACGAATTTAAAAATTCGTTTCGTTTTTTAGTTGCTCCTGAATGGTTCGTTATCGCTTCGTTATAAAAAAAATAACGAATTTTTAACGAATTACGAATTAACGAAACGAAACCGCCCCGCCATGTATAAATATGTGAGAATAATTGTCTAAACAAGGGTGCAAGCTTGTTTTCTGCTGCCCTGGAGACTAGGATGCAGACCAATGGCTTCAAACTACAGGAAAGGATATTCCACCTGAACATTAGGAAGAACTTCCTGACTGTGAGAGCTGTTCAGCAGTGGAACTCTCTACCCTGGAGTGTGGTGGAGGCTCCTTCTTTGGAGGCTTTTAAACAGAGGCTGGATGGCCATCTGTCAGGGGTGCTTTGAATGCAATATTCCTGCTTCTTGGCAGAGGGTTGGACTGAATGGCCCATGAAGTCTCTTCCAACTCTATGATTCTATGATTCTATGTTCAAAGCTGCTCAGTAAACAAGTCCTGAAAGCTAGCCCATTTATCTGTGTAATAATTTTGCTTTCTTATAGTTGAAATGCATGTATGTAGAACATTCACATAACCTTTTGAGCTGCATTATTATTTTTTTCATCATTTTGAGACTGGATACAGCTTCAATACTTTGATATCAGCAGAATTCTCTTATTTTTTGTAACCAGTGATTCCATTATCTTTGTTTTAATGGCAGCCTCCTTTACAACTCCTTTTTATAGGGCTATCCCAATGTTGAACCTGTGATTACAATAAAGTCTAGCAGCTGGATAGATAGTTCTGACAAAACCTGGAAGTCTGCTAGTACCTAGAAGAGCTCCATAGGAAGTTACCATGGAAACTGACATTTTCTTTGCAACATGTTTGATCGGAAAAGGACATGGAGTACTTGGTGAGTTATTTTTGTACCAGTATTAGCTTGGAAAAATTTTGACAATTAGCTGAAATTTCAGGTAATATTGTCATAACTTGCCTAGTGCCTACCTTGTTTACAATTATTTACAATTTGCAACAGGAAAATGCCATTATTTCTATGATTATGACTAATTGCTGAACATTGTTATGTTTTACACATGTGGATTTGAAAGCTTGGGGGGAGGCCCCTTTTTCTGGTTGGCATTTTTTAAAGGGTTTAACACCAAACAACCTTGCCAATATCTGGAGAAATAAATGCACAATCCCTGGAACAAAGAACTTCTGCGGCATGAACTTTCCTTAAAGAAAGACATCTTATAAAATAATAAATTTAACACCATCATTTGTATCTTGCCATTTGTCCAAGGAACTGTTTTAATTTCATTGAAATGTAGTGGGTAGAGGACTGCATAAAATACAACCAATCTTCTGTAGTTAATTTTTGTGGATTTTTAGATGGCAAATTTAAAGTGAAATGGAAAGAGATATAGTTACAAACCTTTGATCCTTACAGAATTGGTCCACTTCATCTTCTCTACTGTATTTTATCTTCCACAATACAGACACTACAGATATCTAATTCATATCTTCTAACACACTCAAAAGTGGGTGTGAAGCCAAGCCCTTTCCATTCATATTGCTAGCAGGTCAAGGACACAAAACCCAGTCGCATCCCAGACATTTATCCTGTGCTTCTTCCAGTTCTCATCTTCATGCTGATAATTATTTTTAATGCCCTAGTTTTACTTTAATGTGCATCATTGAATTTTTGAGAGGCAATGCAGACAAGCTGTGTTTGTGCAATAATAGCTAAGAGATTATCATGCTCACCGAAATCTAATAGAAAACACACTGCTGCTTTTTTTAATATGCTGTAAAAATTCATATTGATTTACTGCTTTGTTTGGAAGCATACCCTGTGTAATATTCTGCTCTCCCTTGGCCATGAACTTTTGACATGGCTGTTGATCAGCTGTTGCACAGGGAAAAAATCTTTTCTCATTTCATCATTCAGACAAGTTTTTGAAGTGAGCAGAATATCTTTGCTGTATTTTGTGCTGACTGAGGTAAAAGAAGCATATTTAAATCTGCAGCATGACAAAATTATTCCACTGTTCTGCAGGTGGAATAAAGGACCTGACAAACGCCCAGCTAAAATTAATCCCAAAGTATCTAAAGTATTTGGTATCTCAAATACTTTAGTGTCAGCTCACAGCAGCTGTTCCCAATGAAGACACAGGACTCCGATCCGTTATCAGAGAGAATCTTTACTACTGGGTACATGAACATATGAAAAGCCGAGATTGACCAGCAGCCGCTGGTCACTCCTTTTATACACTCCCCCTCATTTGAAAGTACAATTCCCGCCGAGTAGAAAACCCCGCGCAATGTTCTCGCCAAACTATAAACTGTTGTTCTCCAAGGTTGACAGCAGCGGAGTCCTTATCAAACTCTTGCGTCAGGACCCTAGTTTTCAGTGCCAAAACTGAGGGCCTGGAAACTGGATACTGACATGGCATCCTCCTCCTCTTCTTCCTGGAATGGAAACATCAATCATATCTACGATCCTTCCTTATCCAGCGGTCCTTGATAGAATCATAGAATCATAGAATCAAAGAGTTGGAAGAGACCTCCTGGGCCATCCAGGCCAACCCCCTGCCAAGAAGCAGGAATATTGCATTCAAATCACCCCTGACAGATGGCCATCCAGCCTCTGTTTAAAAGCTTCCAAAGAAGGAGCCTCCCCCACACTCTGGGGCAGAGAGTTCCACTGCTGAACGGCTCTCACAGTCAGGAAGTTCTTCCTCATGTTCAGATGGAATCTCCTCTTGTAGTTTGAAGCCATTGTTTCGCGTCCTAGTCTCCAGGGAAGCAGAAAACAAGCTTGCTCCCTCCTCCCTGTGGCTTCCTCTCACATATTTAATACATGGCTATCATATCTCCTCTCACCCTTCTCTTCTTCAGGCGAAACATGCCCAGCTCCTTAAGCCGCTCCTCATAGGGCTTGTTCTCCAGACCCTTGATCTCTCTTGTATTGTGGTGCCCAGAATTGGACACAATATTCCAGGTGTGGTCTAACCAAAGCAGAATAGAGGGGTAGCATTACTTCCCTAAATCTAGACACTATGCTCCTATTGATGCAGGCCAAAATCCCATTGGCTTTTTTTGCCGCCACATCACATTGTTGGCTCATGTTTAACTTGTTGTCCACGAGGACTCCAAGATCTTTTTCACACGTACTGCTCTCGAGCCAGGCATTGTCCCCCATTCTGTATCTTTGCATTTCGTTTTTTCTTCAAGTGGAGTATCTTGCATTTGTCACTGTTGAACTTCATTTTGTTAGTTTTGGCCCATCTCTCTAATCTGTCAAGATCGTTTTGAATCCTGCTCCTGTCCTCTGGAGTATTGGCTCTATCCCTCCCAATTTGGTGTCGTCTGCAAACTTGATGATCCTGCCTTCTAACCCTTCCTCTAAGTCATTAATAAAGATGTTGAACAGGACCAGGCCCAGGAGGGAACCCTGCTTGCACTCCACTTGTCACTTCTTTCCAGGATGAAGAGGAAGCATTGGGGAGAATCACCCTCTGGGTTCATCCATTTAACCAATTACAGATCCACCTCACCATAGTTTTGCCTAGCCCACATTGGACTAGTTTGTTTGCCAGAAGGCCATGGGGGACCTCGTTGAAGGTCTTACTGATTTTGCATCCCCTCTCATCCCTGGCCACCAACACTGCCGTGCCAACACCTTCATTGTCTTCATGACCCCCAAATGCCCCGCGCCTTTATTATCATGACACCTTATCATCATCTTCCCCCACAAGCTTTCGGGGACATACAATTTCCTGTTCACAAATCCCAATCCGTCTTTCCACTCCACTCTTTCTTTGTTTCTTTCCAGCCACTCATCCCCCTGGTACGCTTGCTTCAGCTCCTCCTCCCATCCTTCACCTCCGGCTGCTATTCCTGTGAATCTCTGACTACGCTCCGTTTGTGCTTGGGTTTGCACTGCCAGACCCCATTGCTGCTCCGAAAAGATGCTCCCGCTTTGTTCCTGCTTTCCTCCCTCCCGTTGTGGCATTCGAGATAACGCATCAGCCAAGACATTTTCCTTCCCTTTGAAGAATTTTAGCTTGAAATCGAACCTACTGAAATACTGACCCCACCTTATCTGTTTTGCTGACAGCCTCCGAGGTGAAGTGATATATTGCAGGTTTTTATGGTCAGTCCACACCTCAAAAGGCACACCACTCCCCTCCAATAGATGCCTCCAAGATTCTAAGGCCTTCGATATCGCTAGCGCTTCATTCTCCCAAACGGGCCAATTCCTCTCGGTCTCATTGAACTTTCTGGACAAAAACCCACATGGTTTCAGCTTGCCCTCCGAATCCCTCTGCATTAACACCGCCCCGTATGCCCAGTCTGAGGCATTGCAATGAATTATGAACTGCTTGGTTGTGTCTGGGTGGATCAGTATTGACTCTTCTATGAACCTACGCTTTAATTTCTCAAAATCCTCTTGGCATTCTATTGACCAGATTAATTTTGCTCCTGGAGACCGCACCTTGGCTGTTTCCCCCCTCCCCTTGGTTTTCAACAACTCCGTGAGAGTGTGATGTGGGCAAAATCTCTTATGAACGTTCTATAAAAGTTTGTGAACCCTAAGAAGGATTGCAATTGTTTGTGTGTTTTAGGGGGTTCCCAATTCTTTACATCTTCCACTTTTGCAGGGTCCATCGCAATGCCCTTGTGTGAAATCCTATACCCAGGAAGTCTATTTGCTCCTTATTGAACTTGCATTTGGGAAGTTTTGCATACAGTTTCGTCTCTCTCAGCCTCTGAAGCACTTCCCTCACTAATTCCACATGGGCAGACCTACTCTTACTAAATATAATTATGTCATCAATAAAACAATAAACACTGCGATACAGCAATGGGTGCAGCACCTCATTGATCATCTGCATGAATGCCCCCCCCCCCCAGCGCCTTTTAAACCTAAAGGGCAGACACAGAAATTAAATAATTTGAAAGCACAGGAGAAAGCCATCTTCCACCTATCCTCTGGCTTTATCCGAATTTTATGGTGCTTCAAGCAGGTCAAGTTTCGTAAATATCCTCCCCTCCAATAATCGTGATAGTAGGTCTTTGCTTAGTGGTAATGGGTAGCTGGTGGTAGTGCTTACGGCATTCAGTCCTCTATAATCCACACACAGCCTCAGCAACTCGTCCTTGCGCCTGAACAGTACAGGGGCTCCCAAAGGGGATTCAGATGGTTCTATAAAACCTTGGGCTAAGTTCTTGTCTATGTATTTCTTTAGTTCATCCATCTCCTTAGCCGACATTGGATATAGCTTACCCTTTGGCAGGCTAGCGTCTTTGTTTAGTTCAATTCTCACTTCTACCCTTCTCTTGGGGGGAAATTTGTTTGCCTTCTTTTCATCAAACACATCTGCAAAGTCATGATTCTCTGGGGGAAGGTCCCAGGCCAAGTCTGGTAGCCCACTTTTGTTTTCCTCCCCTCGGCTACATCCCTCTTTTGGGGCCTCTTGGAAATGCGGACTCCCCTCTCTCCAATTGATCTGGGGGCTAACCTTCTTCAGCCATGGCATCCCTAGGATTATGTTGTATGTAGCTATCTGGGACACAACAAATGTTATCCCACCTTCCCAGCAGCCTATTTTGCACTGCACATCTTCCACCCTGAATTTTGCCAGGGTTCCTGATGCCACCGACCCATCCAATTGGGAGAAAGCTATGGGGGACTGCAGGGCTGTCTTCTTGCACCCTAGTTCGTCTGCTAGCTCAGGGGTGATTATGTTTCTGGAACATCCGCAGTCTATGAATGCCCTACAGCTAGCCCATTTGTCCCCCCTTCTAGCTTAATCGGGAATACTAGCATTCCTGGGTCGTGACTCACCAAACTCCCTAGCGGGGGGCCCAGGGAGGATGCCTTCCTCCGCTCATTTTCCAGCAGCCAGCTTTGCTCTGGCTTGAGGGGGGCCTCCCCCCTTCCACTGCCAACATTCAGCTGCTTTGTGGTTCAGACGGCCACAAACAAAGCATCCGCTTTGCTGCTCCTTGGGTTCCCCTCTCGGCTCTCTCCCGGCGGTTCCTTTCTCCGGCTTCCGGCCTTCCTCCCTCTGGTGGACGTGCTGCGGCGTCGATCCCCGTTGCCTCCTGACTTGGGCCAGCGTCTTGCTAGCTGTATCCACTCCTGGACCGTCTCTGGATCATTGCGATGAAGAGCCCAAGATAATATTTCCTTCCTCAGACCTTCCTTGAAAATCTCGATTTTAGTCATGGCTGATCATTCAGGAACTTTTTCAGCCAGGCACTGAATCTCCTCCGCATACTCTGACACTGTTCTTCGGCCTTGGATAATAGTTTTCAGTCTGTCTTTCGCCCTGACCCACTTGAGTGGATCTCAGAAGCGTGCTTCCAGGGTGGCTAGGAACCCTCTCGCCGACCCCAAGCATGGGTCATGCCTTGCGTGGAGCTGGACATACCAGCTCGCTGCTCCCTTCCTCAATACTGCACCCACAGCCTGCACACAGCTGGCTTCCGACCTGAAGGTAGGTGCATTGTCTTCCAAGTAGCCCTTCACCATTGTCAGGAAGAAGTCTAGTTCCTCAGCTTCCCCTCCGAACTCTATTCTCAACTCCTCCCTTCTCTGCTGGGGGATTAGTGGTTGTACCTCTCGGGCGTCTGCATGCGTTGGCCCTCCCTGGAGCCCTTGCCGCTCCGGGGGCAATCCTCGTAGCCCTGTGTCATGCCTGGCTCTGGCCAGGGGCACCAGGGGTGTAGTTTGGTGGGTGAGTGCGGCTCCCCACAGTCTCTCCCCTTCCTGGTCGCTCTCCACCCCTTGCCTCCAGCTCATCTGGGTTTTGGGATGTGCTCTGGGTCCCCGGTTGCTCCTCTCACTTGCACTCCACAGCAACTCCATCCGGGGTTGTGGGTCCTCCACCAGAGGGGCCAAGCGCTCCATCACTCTCGACATAACAGCGACGGTAGTCTCCATAGCTGCCACTTTCCCTTCCAGATACTCCATTCTCTGGGGGGAGGGGAATTCCAGGTCGCTACTTCCCCTCACGACATCTACTGGCCCTTTCGCTCGTCTCTGGGTCACCCCATTGGGTCGGGCGTAGGCAGTAGACGATGCCAAAGCCGCCACTCTTTCGAGTTCCACCTCTGTTTCCTCGAAAAGGGACCCCTGCTCACCTCCTTCCGCCCCGAAGATGGGGTTCTCCTCCTCCTGCGGAACTTCATCTTCGTCTATAGTAGCACCTCACCGCAAATGCGAAATACTGCAGTGAATCTCAGCTTAAACGTAAGCTCACAGCAGCTGTTCCCAATGAAGACACAGGACTCCAATCCATTATCAGAGAGAATCTTTACTACTGGGTACATGAACATATGAAAAGCCGAGATTGACCAGCAGCTGCTGGTCACTCCTTTTATACACTCCCCCTCATTTGAAAGTACAATTTCCGCTGAGTAGAAAAGTGTCTCTGAGTCTTGTTTGCTTTGATTTAATAAACTGTTGATTTACTGTGTCTGGCTCTTTAAGGCATCTGAGTTCCGACATGTTCTTTCCAGATTTCTCTAGTGTCATCTTTCTGGAATGTCCCTCATTGAGAGATCAAACCTGGTGACCTTAGGGGGAAAACACTATCTTCTTTGTTGGTGTTCTACAAATGAAATCATGAGCCCTGTTGCAGGCTGTTGAGGAGGATGTCTTTAAAAGGTAAGATCTTGGAAGAATGTTGGTAAACTCTGGGCACATCTACACTGACACTTATTTTGAGGCTGATGCAGTATGCTAAACACTCAATTGACCCCAATAAATATCTCACAGGAGTGTTCCCAGCTGATTCAGAGGTGGGAGTCCCCACTGCACAGCAGCACCAAACAGAGCTCTCCCTCTTCCCCTAGACTCATAGAATCATTGAGTTGGAAGACACCTCATGGGCCATCCAGTCCAACCCCCTGCCAAGAAGCAGGAAAATTGTATTCAAAGTATCCCTGAAAGATGATTATACAGTCTCCCTCCTCCCTATGACTTCCCCTCACATTATTCTCAGTACCTCATTTAGGTTATAATTGTTAATTAACTGAACAAAAGAATAATGAAAGGGAATGAGAAGTTATATACACATTATTCAGCATTGCACTCGGTATTTACTAGAATATTCATAACACCATCCCTAGTTAAATATGTTAAAGAAGTCAATATAAATTTAAATTCTATATGTGACCATCGAGATGTGAATATGGTATTAGAATACCAAACTGACTATGAGCCTCTAAAAAGAATGTGGATGGATATAAAGATTATTAACAAGAAATCTATAAGGGAAAATATTTTAAGAAAATGGGCAGAAATTTGGGAGTTAAATGCAAGGGAACCCCCTTCATATGAGGTGCTCTGGGATGCAATGAAAGCAGTTTTCAGAGGATTGTTTAGTAAATATTCGAGCATACTGAAGAAACAGGAAAGGGAACGAGAGAACCAACTGATAGGGGAGATAGAAAAACTGGAATCAATGTACTTGTTAATGAAGGATCTGAAGATTATAAATAATATTACCAGATTAAAGACAGAGTAGGAGGCTAAAGATATAGAAAAAGTAAAAAAAAGATATGATGTATACAGATATTTCTTTGAATATAATAATAAAAGCTCAAAACTGCTGGCAAAAATAGCACAGACAAAAAGAGTAAGAAGGGAGATTGGAAGTATCAAGGACAGTAATGGTATTGTACGTGCCAGAATAATAGATAAAATTAAAGTGATACAGGATTTCTACTCTACTGTGTACAGAAATACAGAAGTGGATATAGATGAGCTGGACAAATATCTGAAACAAAATTTAGGCAAGAAATTAAGCGAGACACACACTAAGGAACCATTTCTATATCACAAGAGGCAAATAAAGACACAATTAACAAATTAAGGAAGGGTAAGTCACCTGGAGAAGATGATATTTCAACCCTATTTCTCTAATTAACCAAGACGCAAAAAAGTTTATGGCAATTTTGGCAAATAGATTTTAAAAATTCATTGAACATTATATTATCCCAGACCAATGTGGGTTTGTTAAGGGTTAGCAAATGTCTGACTTGGTCCGCAGACTAATAAACATTATAGAGAATGCTAAAAACAAGAAAGCTCAAGTAGGTATTATTGCATTAGATATATATAAAGCCTTTGACTCGGGTTGGACAGTTTTGAAATCACTAATTAAAAAATATGGTTTTGGAGAGGATTTCCAACATATAATAGAACAAATATATTCAGACAACAGGACTAAAGTCATAATTAATTACTCAAGTACTGAACCCTTTAGTATTATGCAAGGAGTAAAGCAGGGCTGCCCTCTTTCTCCAGTACTATTTATATTAGTTATGGAATTATTGGTCTCTGCAATTAGGAATTATAAAGAAATACAGGGAATGGGAGTAGACAACAAAATCAAAATTAGCTTATTTGCAGATGACATGCTTTTGACAGTCAGAAATCCAGATAGGGCACTAGACCAGATAAACCTACATTTAAAACAGTTTGGAAAAATAACAGGCCTAATAATTAATTGGAAGAAAACGGAGGTAATGACAATAAACCCGGAGAGAAAGGACAAAGAGAAAACAATTGATCAATTTAAGCAAAAATACAGTACACGGTAAAAAGAAAACAGTAACATAATAACACCTAAACAATCCTATATAATTAACAACAATAGCCATTCACTGGCATCTCATCACTGAAAACATGATCCGGATCCATCATCCATTGTTCCATTCCTATGTTCATTACACTCATTGCACTAATTATTCGAACGCCTGCTCGAACAACCAGGTCTTCACTTTTTTTGCGGAATACCAATAATGATGGAGCTAGTCTAATATCTGTGGGAAAGGCGTTCCACAGCCGAGGGGCCACCACCGAGAAGGCCCTATCTCTCATCCCCGCCAGCCGTGCCTGTGAGGCAGGCGGGATCGAGAGCAGGGCCTCCCCGGAAGATCTCAAAGTCCTGGTGGGTTCATAGGCAGAGATGCGGTCGGATAGGTATCTTGGGCCGGAACCGTTTAGGACTTTAAAGGTCAACGGCAGCACTTTGAATCGAGCCCGGTAGCAAATCGGCAGCCAGTGGAGTTGGCGCAACAGGGGGGTTGTATGCTCCCTGCGTTCCGCTCCTGTTAGAATCACTGCCGACCGTTGGACTAATTGAAGCTTCCGAGCCGTCTTCAAAGGCAACCCCACGTAGAGAGCGTTGCAGTAGTCTAAACGTGATGTAACCAGAGCGTGGACTACCGTGGCCAAGTCAGACTTCCCAAGGTACGGGCGCAGCTGGCGCACAAGTTTTAATTGTGCAAATGCTCCCCTGGTCACCGCCGAGACCTGGGGTTCCAGGCTCAGCGATGAGTCAAGGGTCACACCCAAGCTGCGAACCTGCGTCTTCAGGGGGAGTGCGGCCCCATCCAACACAGGATGTAACCCTATGCCCTGTTAGGCCTTGCGACTGACCAGGAGTACCTCTGTCTTGTCTGGATTCAATTTCAATTTGTTCGCCCTCATCCAGACCGTCACAGCGGCCAAGCACCGGTTCTGGACCTGGACAGCCTCCTTAGTAGCAGGTGGAAAGGAGTGACAGAGTTGGACATCATCCGCGTACAGATGACACCGTACCCCGAAACTCCGGATGATCTCCCCCAGCGGCTTCATGTAGATGTTAAACAACATGGGAGACAATATTGAGCCCTGAGGAACCCCACAAGACAATGGTTGTGGGGTTGAACAGGTGTCTCCCAGTAACACCTTCTGAGATAGACCCTCTAGGAAGGACCGGAGCCACTGCAGAACAGTACCTCCAAGATCCATCCCCACGAGGCATCCCAGAAGGATACCATGGTCGACAGTATCGAAGCCGCTGAGAGGTCCAGCAGCACCAACAGGGACACACTCCCCGTCGAGCTCCCGGCGCAGATCATCCACTAAGGCGACCAAGGCTGTCTCGGTACCATGTCCCGGCCTAAAGCCAGACTGTGCCGGGTCTAGATAATCCGTGTCTACCAAGAATACCTGGAGTTGTGAAGCCACCACACGTTCCAGGACTTTGCCCAAAAAGGGGAGATTGGAAACTGGCCGATAGTTGACGAATTGAGTGGGGTCCAGTGATGGTTTTTTCAACAGCGGTTTTATTATAGCTTGTTTTAAGCTCGCTGGAATTAGCTGCCTTCCCGAAGGGAGGCATTAACCACCACCTTTACCCACTCAGCCAATCCCCCTCTGGCCTCCTTTAAAAGCCAGGATGGGCAGGGGTCTAGGATGCATGTGGTTGCCCTCATCCCTCCAAGCATCTTGTCCACATCCTCGGATTGAACCAATTGAAATGAATCCATCAAAACCGGACAAGCAGGTGCTCGTGTTACATCCTCAGAGACTGCCATTAACATGGTATCCAGACCAAAACGGATCAAAGCGACTTTGTCTGCAAAGAACCGAGCAAAAGCTTCACAGAGAGAAGTCGAATTGTCAGGGTTCCCACCTTGAGTGGTGGGATTTAACAGGCCTCTGACAATTCGGAACAGCTCAGCCGGACGGTTCTTTGCAGACGCAATAGTGGCTGCGAAGAAAGCGTTCTTTGTGGCTTTTATTGCCGCAGCATATGCCCTTAAAAAGGACACAAACCGTGTTCAATTTGGCTCGATTTGGCTCGTTCGGATCGTTCGGATCAATAAGTTATTTTGCTCTCATTGTTGATAAAACAAAAACCTTGCATACCTTATATGATTGGATAATTTCAATGTTTTTCTTTTATCATTGTACAACCAAGGATGATTTTATAACCTACTATCAGACACGTGTAATAAAGGGAGTGTTTAGGCTGATCTCAGAACCTAAATTAATCTGGCGGGAACTGGAAGAAAAATGTTGGCATATAGATTATGGAGAAATTTTTTTCATGTCAAAAATAGGCAAAGTAATTAAGGGGTGTAAAAATAACCTAGCTAAAGACATTATGGAGACATGGGTTAAATTAAAAAACAAGATATTTCCAGGAGTTTCTCCCATAACCCCAATAGTTTTACTTGAAATATTTCAGAAGATCTGAGAATTAAATACAAAAAATTAGTGGAGGTGGAAACTGCTCTTTCCTGGAAGGAATGGATACAAAATTTGATGGGCATGTTTAATAAGTGAGGAGATATACCCTCTCACACTGGAAATTGCAATAAAAAGATCCTATGCTTCAAAGTTATTGAAAAGTCATTCATGACATAATTGGTGTCAGAAGTGGGATATTCTTTTCCAATGTAGGAAAGTTATTCATAACACTAAGACTCCACGAGTTCTTTTACATGGACTTTTGTCATCCATCCTATATTTGTGTGTTTCCCCTTGTTGAAAATCTTTGTCTTTTCCTCTCCAATTTCTTCTTTATTTTTAAAAAGAGTAATAATACCTCAGCACATCAGTAACTTAATGAAATCTGATTTATAATAAACACTATCACTCTAAGATTTTTTTAAAAAAGAAAAGTTCATTTTAAGCCCTAACGTTAGGAAATCATACCTATAGCAAATAAAACTCAATTTCATCAAATCTCTTTTATAATATTGAAACACACAATCAAATCTGTGCTCTTCTCATAGACCAGTTACTTACTGAAATTCCAAGTGATTTTTAAATTTTTTATTGTCTTTCATCTGGAGAAATCCATCTGTTCAACTCTTTCAAGCAGC